ATTACACCACGTGGATCCTAATTCCTAATCTTGAATGGTTTTCTCATTTGTGTATATATATAGCACGGATTTGTGTACCGTGAGCATGGAAACACACCAGGATACTACGATGGACGTTACTGGACAATGTGGAAGCTTCCGTTGTTCGGATGCACTGACTCTGCTCAAGTGTTGAAGGAAGTGGAAGAGTGCAAGAAGGAGTACCCTAACGCATTCATCAGGATCATCGGATTCGACAACAACCGTCAAGTCCAGTGCATCAGTTTCATCGCCTACAAGCCACCAAACTTCACCCAGGCTTAATTCCCATTATAAAACATTCATATAATAATATAAAATTGGAGTTGTACCTTTAAGAAAAAAAATATTTTCTAATGTTATAATTCATCAAAGTTTTGAGGTTATCGATATTCGTATTAAATGGGGGTTTTTTTTTGTAAGTACATGTTCTCTTCTATTTTATCTCTATAGTCTCACAATATTACGCTCATTTATCTTTTATGTTCTAAAGATCAAACGCTAATATGAAAGGTTTGATGAAACACAACCACACAAGAGCCTAGATACCTCAAACATGTATATGTTTCGAGACAGACACTTTGCGGCAGAGATACATACGAAGAGGGGAGTCGGCGTATGACTTCAAATTTCTGACCGGAACGGTGCTACCTATGCTGTTGTTGAAGGAGAAAAACATTTAGCTTCGAAAGAAAATTCTTTGTATCGTTTGAAATCATGACGAGAAAGCGTTGTGCATCTTTCACGACTTAAACTGTATATGTGTTTTTGTCTTAGAATCATACCAATGCTGCAGTGAATGAAAACTAATTACATGGTAAATTTTGTCAACCAACATAACGTGGAGATTATATACCGGGTTGGTTTGACATGTACAGGTTTTCCGATTTAGCTTTTTAGGCGTCAATAAAATCAAAAGTGAGTTCTTTGTTTTATATGGCCATAAAAAGGTTTTAATTATGCATTTTAATTAATTTAATTCTCTTACATATACTCTATTCTATATGTACAAGTTGATTATGCATAAAATGACTTTTAACAGTATCTCTAACAATCTATGATTATAAACTCTCTAAATATTGTCTATGTTTTAATTTATCTCACTTGTGTTGTGTCATGTGTGTGAACTTTTGATCCTGGCAATCTGGCATAACACAGCCACCTGCCACTTCACGTCAAATGTAATATCTGTTTATTTTTTATGAACACCTTTACCATTATCTGAATTATTCATTTCATTAACATGCTAATTTGAAGTAAATGACATATCTCCATGGATAGAGATTTGGTTTCATTGTTAGTAGTCTAGAAATGACACGGTTCATATCTTCAACCTGGGGGGGGGGGGGGGGGGGGGATAGATTAGGGTAAAGGAAAAAAATGCAGAGCAATTACTAAAGGGTTTGGAGAAGAAAACTTGAGCCAAGTAATCTGACCGGATTTTCACTCAATTATAGATAAAGCCTCAAGCGACTAACCAAGGCACCCAGGGAGAACAGATATCTGAGGTGAGAGTAGCCAACTCCTGCCCCAGCTTACCTGTCACCTCGAGGAACTAGTCGGTTTTTCGGGATCCGGGCATGGACCATCCACCAAAATAGTAAGTTGGAACTGTCAAGGGCTGGAGAATCCCTTGACAGTCCACATAATCCATGAGATATTCAAAGCAATCTCTCCAGACATTCTATTCCTCACGGAGACAAAAAAACTCAGATGATTTCGTTCTCAACGAGCTACCTGCACCACGCTCTAGTCCCCCCTCAAGTTACGGGAGGTGGAGGACTGGCTCTTTTCTGGAAGCAAGAAACAACTCTGGAATTACTGACAGCAAACAAAAACATTATGGATGCAAAAATCACAATAGAAGGGATAAGCTCATTTGTAACCTTTGTATATGGAGACCCAGTCAGATCCCTGCGGAGCCAAGTGTGGAAGCAACTGATGGACAAGACACAAAACCGCGAGGCTCCTTGGCTACTCACAGGTGATTTCAATGATATTATTGACAACTTGGAGAAACAAGGAGGACCAGCAAGGCCAGAAAGCTCCTTCACCGACTTCCGTAGCTTCCTATCAGCCTGCGATCTGTACGATTTGCAACACTCTGGAAACTCTTTATCCTTGAGAGGAAAACGGTACAATCACATTGTCAGATGTCGTCTTGACAGAGCTATAGTAGTACATGGGTAGAGGTCTTCCCTTCGGGAAGATGTGAATACCTTCGGTTTGAAAGATCAGATCATAGACCTATCGCCACTTACTTCAACTCCAACTCGGTATGATAGGAGGCTCAGACATAACGCAGAGGTTCACCGCCTTATAGCTAAAGTATGGCAGAGAGAAGACCTCAACTCAGTCAACAAGAAGATAGGAGCAAGCCGCCGGGAAATAATCCACTGGAATAAAGACAAACAAAACAACAGTCAAAAACATATCTCTGAACTCAAAAGGAAACTTGAGGAGGCTATGGACAGTCAATCCCACTCAGAGGAAGAAATAAGGGGCATTAATGCTAGGCTACAAGAAGCTTACAGCAAGGAAGATGACTTCTGGAAGCAAAGAAACCGACAACTATGGCTCACACTTGGGGACAGAAACTCTGGCTACTTCCACGCGACTACGAGAGAAAGAAGAGCTGTAAACAAATTCTCTGTTATTGAAGATACACACGGCCAAGCAGTATTCGAGAAAGGGAAGATAGTCATAGTGGATTACTATTAAAAGCTTTTCACAACAGAAAAGGGAGAACGAAGCAGTACCGTTAATGCAGCCTTGCGGCCAAAGATTTCGCCAGAGGAGAATGAGAGACTGGTGGAAATCCCTACAGCAGAAGAGATCAAACACGCCTGCTTCGCAATCAACCCGGACAAAGCCCCATGGGCAGACGGCTTCTCAGCAGCTTTCTTCCAGGTGCATTGGCAACAAGTGGAATCAGCTATAGTCTTGGAAGTACAAGAGTTCTTCCTATCAGGCTATCTACCTGAAAAGATTAACGAAACACATATCAGACTGATCCCGAAGATTCAAAGCCCGAAGGTAGTGGCGGATTACAGACCTATAGCACTTTGCAGTGTATATTATAAAATCATCTCCAAGCTGCTCACAAGACGCATCCAACCGCTTCTGCAACAATTTATTTCAGAAACTCAGTCGGCTTTTGTTCCAAAAAGAGCTATTACAGATAACGTTCTCATTACCCACGAGATCCTACACTTCCTCAAGACATCAGGAGCCAAGACAAGATGTTCAATAACAGTAAAAACCGACATGAGTAAAGCGTATGATAGACTGGAGTGGGACTTTATCTACTTAGTGCTACAACGACTTGGTTTTCACCCTACCTTCTGCCAATGGATAATGCAATACATATCCACTGTCTTCTTCTCCTTTCTCATCAATGGTGCAGCACAAGGGAGAGTACTACCGCAGAGAAGGATTAGACAGGGGGACCCGCTCTCCCCATACATATTCATCTTATGTAGTGAGGTTCTCTCGGGCCTTTGCAAAAATGTTTAAAGCACAGGATGCCTCCCCAGAATAAGAGTAGCAAAAAGGAGCCCCAAGGTGAACCACCTCCTATTTGCAGATGATACGATGTTCTTCTGCAAATCGGATCCCAAAACCTGCAAAGCACTTAATAAAGTCATTCAGCAATAATAAGAAGCATCGGGGCAAATCATCAACTATGCAAAATCAGCAATAACTTTCGGGGCAAAGACACCAGTGGCAATGCGAGAGAGAATCAAGCGTGATATTAATATAACAAAGGAAGGGGGACTTGGCAAATATCTAGGGCTCCCGGAACACTTTGGCAGGAAGAAGAAAGATCTTTTTAGTCTGATAGTTCACAGGATACAGCAAAAGAGTGTGAGCTGGGCTTCCCGCCGACTATCCACTGCAGGAAAGCTAACAATGCTAAAGTCGGTCCTCTCCGCGATACCAACTTACACCATGTCGTGCTTCCAAATCCCCATATCTCTCTGCAAATGTATACAATTATGCCTCGTGAGATTCTGGTGGGACAATACCTCGGAAAAAAAAGGAATGAGCTGGACAGCATGGACGAAGCTCACTCAACCAAAGAAGAACAGTGGCTTAGGCTTCAGAGATATCCAAGCTTTCAACAAAGCCCTGCTGGCAAAACAAGGATGGCGAATAATTCAGAACCCAAAAAGTCTACTTGCCCGAGTCTTATGTGAAAAGTACTGCCGAGACGAACCTTTCCTGGATTGTCAAGCACCCAAGATAGCATCGCACGGCTGGAGAGGAATTCTCTTGGGCAGAGACCTGCTCCGGAGAAAGTTGGGTAAAACTATTGGAGATGGCAAAGCGTCAAACCTCTGGACAACACCTTGGCTCTCGCTGGAAGATCAGAGAGCTCCAATGGGCCTCGCTCCATCACACTTGCAGTCACTCACGATTGATTATCTCATAAACGAAAACACTGCTGAATGGAACTTAGACAGAGTCAGAGAAGTGCTACCAGCACATGAGAGGGAGATCCTGCAGATTATCCCGAGCTCCTCTGGTGCACAAGACAAGTTCATATGGTTCCCCACACCTTCAAGGGAGTACACAACCAAATCTGGATACACTGAAGCGGTGACTACCTCGGTACCACCCTCAAATCCAGACCACGACGCCCTCCAAACAAACTGGCGAGCAGATGTATGGAGTGTAAACATCTCCCCGAAAATCCAATTATTTCTCTAGAAAATCCTGCAAGGAGCACTGCCGGTGGAGGAAAACCTAATGAAACGCATCCCTACAGCCTTCTATGAGTGCCCACACTGCTCTGAGTCGGAATCAATAACCCATATGCTCTTCTCATGCCCCTTCGCGACCCAGGTATGGTCTCTAATGCCATTCACAACGCCCGTAAGAGTAAGCTATATCACATCCCCGCTACAGGAGCTATGCCGAGTGAAAGAGCAGAGCTGTGCGCACCCAGTCGGAAGCTCCCCGATCTACCCGTGGACCCTCTGGGCCATCTGGTCAGCCAGGAACAACATAATCTTCAACAATCGGATCTTCTCGGCTGCAGAAACAGTAACAAAAGCTCTCAGTGACGCAAAAGAATAGAAAAAATCCCAGGAATCGGAAGGACATGATCTCCCATGCCAAAGGATAATCAAATCTCCAAAAAAGAAAACAGAACAGCAGCGAGCTTACCCGGCAACAACAGCAATCATTTTCACTGATGCGGCATGGAATAAGGAATCTGGAGAGGCAGGTTTGGAATGGACGATTGAACACCCAGCCCTAGGAAGCAAGATCCGGGGCTCGGTGGCGCGTAAACACATCGGATCCCCCCTCCTAGCGGAAGCTGTAACCCTGCAAAGAGCCCTTCGCCATGCAACAGATCTGAATCTCATCGAAGTGGTTGTTTTTTCCGATTCACAGGAACTCATCAAGACAATCAATGGCGAATCCTTTCACAAGCAGCTCCATGGAATCATTTTCGACATTCACTCTCTATCAACCTCCTTTTCTAACTCTTTGTTTTTGCATGTATCAAGAAAGGAAAATCAGGAAGCAGACTCTTTGGCAAAGAGCGAGCTTCGTCTGATGAACCGTGGTTAAATTTATTTTTAATGAAATCAAATATTTGCCCAAAAAAAAAAAATACACTACCTCCTCGTGGATTTGGGTGGGAGTGGCGCCATAGTGATCAAAAGCGCTTGAATCCATTACAGTTAATAGTGTTTACTCGTGTGGGGACATAAAATAGAAATAGAGGAGGAGTGAGAGAAGCAAACAATAATGATCTCTCTATCATCATGTTCTAAATGGAGCCTTGGAGTATGAACAATGAGTACAAAGAATGAGATGAAACAGAAACATGGAGAGATGATAATACTAAATTCTGTTGTTGAAGAAATTGTTTTGTTTCAAGGTTAAAGAAAAAATAATTATTTTGTTTTTTTTTTTGTCGTCTGTTGGTTGCATTAAAACCCATAAAGGGTAAAGACAGGTACAAAAGCCCACTCCCAAAGCCCACATAAACAAAAGTATTACAAAGAGATCAGAAAAGGCTAGTAACACGTGCTTCTGTGAAATTTAACCTAATCAAAACACCTCATAGACACATGTTTACTATGGAGCAAGTTGTTGAAAATATCGCTATCGCTAAGTTAAGCCACCGGATCCTCGCTGCCGACAAGGCTCCTCAACGCCAATCGTCTCTTCAATATTTCAACACAGCATCTATACTTGATCCTTTGGCATAATAGTCGCTAGAAGTAATTGAAGATTCATCAGAATTTCACTAGAATTTCTGAAACCTGGAAACAGCGAATGCTTTAGTAACATAATATTTGTCAAGACATCTTTTAAGATACAATCCTAAAAGACCCCAACTTCTACTTATTCTGTACTGAAGCAAACACCCATATCCAACCAACTCGATTTCAAAATCTCAGAGAAGCTTGGTATTAGACAACCAAAATTTACATCGGAAAACCGAATTTTACTCTTATGAAAATGAAATCAGTGAAAACGAGAATCCAACAACCTTCAAGAATTAATCTTCATCAATTGAAGATATGAAGAACATGCAAAAGGCAAACAAAAAAATTCCGATAAACGGAAAAGATAGTCCGACTAGCGGAAATATTTAACATAAAACAAAAGCAAAATCCGAAACAATATAGACAGCACAGTACCAACGTCGGATTTACGCCGGCCACCAGCCAAAAAACACTCAGATCCGAGTAATTTAGATCAGAAAATTGAAGGAGAAGAAATTAGAGAGATAAAGGTAAGAGAGAGGTTTTTTTGGATGTATATAACAATTATTTCGTTTCTCATAACAAGTTTTGATATATAAAGTAAAAAAAAAAAACAAGGAAGACCAGTTATGAGGCGGTGACAAATTGAGCCATCAATTAAAATTATATTATGTTAATTGTATTGATTTTTGCTCAGTCTTTGTTTGTATACGAACCAGAAATGAAAAACTTCGCTTGAATTTCTGTAACTTTTTCCATTGTTTCTCCTTTGTTCATGGTTATATTTTTGTATATACGTATACATATGAAAGTGTTCTCAAATATACGTATACTTAATTTTGTGGTATTGTGTTCTTGTTGGCAGCTAAAATGTCAGCTTAATTAGGATTAGGCTATTGGGTGAAAGCCATTGGATGCAATAGAAAATTGGGTTAAGAAAAAGCCAACATATGACAACAACCTCCAACATGGTAAAATTAGTGAAAATGAACGAATCAAAAATGATGTCTACGAAATTATAGAAGTTGGTATAGTACATTGGTGCATTTTACTAAACATACCAGGATTTTGATTCACAACTTTCGCTGCAAATCAAACATATATTAAACAGAAAGTATTAATGGTGTATTTGTCATTATTTCAGAATTTTAAACTTTTTAAATCTCAATAATAGTTAAAAACTTAAATAATTTATTCTTGCAACCAAACATAATCTTTCTTGCAACTAAACAAAATTTTTTCTAATTATTTACTTTTTAATTACATTTAATATTTTAAAAATCTGCAATAAATATTTAGTTTTTGTATATAATTTAAACAATTCGATTTAAATAAATATGACAGAAAATTTAAGTGAATATTTGTTTTTTTAAAAAGTATCTAACATATATTAAACAGAAAACATTAGTTTTAGGTGTCATTATCTCTTTTTTAAATATTTTTTATTGATTTATTTTCGTGTGTTATCCATATTACCAAACACTTTATTTTAAATCACTTAAATTAAATCAAATTTAAATCGAACCAATCATAAATAATTCGATAATCATTGATTTAGTAAATTAAATTAGTTACCTGTTTTATTAACGAATGTAAAAATTATTTTCATGTTTTAGATCTACAAGTATTTATTATTTCAACAGCTTTGATTCACATATTATACAAACGGAAGAAGAATATTATTAGATACTCAAATATTTTCTCAAATCCCGACTCAACATTTTTAGATATCCAAATATTTTTCAAAACTTAATAAATTATAGAATATTTTTTAAATATTTTTACAAATATTACTCCGCACGAACGTGTGGGTAGTAACCTAGTCAATGATAATAATGTGACTAGATTTCGACTCAATTGGAGAAAATAATAGGATTATAAAATACTATTATAAAAGTGACTATTAATTGTAACGATTCAAAACTAAGCCTAAAAAAAAAAAAAACTTAGTCTATGAAGTCCAAAAACATTAAAATGTAGGTCATGCGCCTGGTTTCTTTCCTCCCAAACGGAAGGAGCCAAAAAAGCATATGCTCAAGTGGAGACCAGTAACCATACACATTCACTCATTTCTTTACAAGAAAAGATAAGATAATGTACGTTTTCTGACACGTGGCCTTATCATAATGGTCCTTGTCGTTAAGGGTGTCAACACCTTTCCTTAATCCTGTGGCAGTTAACGACGTTATCATGAATCCTGGGCCCTTTGATCATTAGGTCTTTTTGCCTTACGCCGTTCTCACTATATATAGATGACTAAAGCAATAGACAAACAACAAGTAAGAGAAAAGAGTAGAAGAAGAAGAAGAAGAACTAGTAATGGCTTCCTCTCTGCTCTCCTCCGCCGCTGTGGTGACCTCACCGGCTCAAGCCACCATGGTCGCTCCATTCACCGGCTTGAAGTCTTCCGCTGCATTCCCAGTCACCCGCAAGGCCAACACTGACATTACTTCCATCGCAAGCAACGGAGGAAGAGTTAACTGCATGCAGGTAAATGTCACTAGACTTTATTATAGGCTTGATGCTTGTGAACATGAATCCAATTCGATTTTTCATTTTATCTTTTTAAAATATATATAGAAATTGGACTTATATTTTTTTTTAAAACATTTAAGTATACATTTTTTTTGTTTTGCATAGATTTACAAATACAATCTTGGATCGATAAATGTGTAATCAACTGGAACTTATAGTTGTATCAACTTTAGACGAAATTTTGCACGATATTCGGTAGAAATTTTCCAAACAACTATGATGATTGGAATAAAATGTGTTGGCAAATGAAAGGGTTTCTTGTAGACTTCGAAAGAGAATTGATATTAATTGGAAATGTGAATGATAGGTGTGGCCACCAATTGGAAAGAAGAAGTTTGAGACCCTCTCTTACCTTCCTGACCTTACCGACGTCGAATTGGCTAAGGAAGTCGACTACCTTATCCGCAACAAGTGGATTCCTTGTGTTGAATTCGAGTTGGAGGTAATATAAACAAAAGTTGTTTTTGTTGCTTGTCTCTAATCATTCTTTATTACACCATGTAGATCCTAATCTTGAATGGTTTCCTCATTTGTGTGTATATATAGCACGGATTTGTATACCGTGAGCACGGAAACACACCAGGATACTACGATGGACGTTACTGGACAATGTGGAAGCTTCCGTTGTTCGGATGCACTGACTCTGCTCAAGTGTTGAAGGAAGTGGAAGAGTGCAAGAAGGAGTACCCTAACGCATTCATCAGGATCATCGGATTCGACAACAACCGTCAAGTCCAGTGCATCAGTTTCATCGCCTACAAGCCACCAAGCTTCACCCAGGCTTAATTCCCATTCTAAAACATTCATATAATATAAAATTGGAGTTGTACCTTTAAGAAAAAAAATACTTTCTAATGTTATAATTCATCAAAGTTTTGAGGTTATCGATATTCGTATTAAATGGGTTTTTTTTTTTTTTTTTTGTAAGTACATGTTCTCTTCTATTTTATCTCTATAGTCTCATATTATTACGCTCATTTATCTTTTATGTTCTAAAGATCAAACGCTAATATGAAAGGTTTGATGAAACACAACCACACAAGAGCCTAGATACCTCAAACATGTATATGTTTCGAGACAGACACTTTGCGGCAGAGATACATACGAAGAGGGGAGTCGGCGTATGACTTCAAATTTCTGACCGGAACGGTGCTACCTATGCTGTTGTTGAAGGAGAAAAACATTTAGCTTCGAAAGAAAATTCTTTGTATCGTTTGAAATCATGACGAGAAAGCGTTGTGCATCTTTCACGACTTAAACTGTATATGTGTTTTTGTCTTAGAATCATACCAATGCTGCAGTGAATGAAAACTAATTACATGGTAAATTTTGTCAACCAACATAACGTGGAGATGGTATTATATACCGGGTTGGTTTGACATGTACAGGTTTTCCGATTTAGCTTTTTAGGCGTCAATAAAATCAAAAGTGAGTTCTTTGTTTTATATGGCCTTAAAAAGGTTTTAATTATGCATTTTAGTTAATTTAATTCTCTTACATATACTCTATTCTATATGTACAAGTTGATTATGCATAAAATGACTTTTAACAGTATCTCTAACAATCTATGATTATAAACTCTCTAAATATTGTCTATGTTTTAATTTATCTCACTTGTGTTGTGTCATGTGTGTGAACTTTTGATCCTGGTAATCTGGCATAACACAGCCACCTGCCACTTCACGTTAAATGTAATATCTGTTTATTTTTATGAACACCTTTACCATTATCTGAATTATTCATTTCATTAACATGCTAATTTGAAGTAAATGACATATCTCCATGGATAGAGATTTGGTTTCATTGTTAGGAGTCTAGAAATGACACGGTTCATATATTGAACCTGGGGGAGGGAGGGGGGGATAGATTAGGGTAAAGAAAAAAATGCAGAGCAATTACTAAAGGGTTTGGAGAAGAAACCTTGAGCCAAGTAATCTGACTGGATTTTTACTCAATTATAGGCTTAAAATACACTACCTCTTGATGGATTTGGGTGGGAGTGGCGCCATAGTGATCAAAAACGCTTGAATCCATTACAGTTAAGAGTATTTACTCGTGTGGGGACATAAAATAGAAATAGAGGAGGAGTGAGAGAAGCAAACAATAATGCTCTCTCTATCATCATGTTCTAAATGGAGCCTTGGAGTATGAACAATGAGTACGAAGAATGAGATGAAACAGAGACATGGAGAGATGATAATACTAAATTCTGTTGTTGAAGAATTATTTTGTTTCAAGGTTAAAGAAAAAACAATTATTTTGTTCCTCATAACAAGTTTTGATATATAAAGTACAAAAAAAAAATAAGGAAGGCCAGTTATGAGGCGGTGACAAATTGATCCATCAATCAAAATTATATTATGTTAATTGTATTGATTTTTGCTCAGTCCATAAATGAAAAACTTCGCTTGAATTTCTGTAACTTTTTCCATTGTTTCTCCTTTGTTCATGGTTATATTTTTGTATATACATATGAAAGTGCTCTTAAATATACATATACTTAATTTTGTGGTATTGTGTTCTTGTTGGCAGCTAAAATGTCAGCTTAATTAGGATTAGGCTATTGGGTGAAAGCTATTGGATGCAATAGAAAATTGGGTTAAGAAAAAACCAATATATGACAACAACCTCCAACATGGTAAAATTAGTGAAAATGAACGAATCAAAAATGATGTCTACGAAATTATAGAAGTTGGTATAATACATTGGCGAATTTTACTAAAAATACCAGGATTTTGATTCACAACTTTCGCTGCAAATCTAACATATATTAAACCAGAAGCATTAATGGTTTATGTGTCATTATCTCAGAATTTTAAATTTCTTTAAACCTTAATAATGGTTAAAACCTTAAATAAATTATTCTTGCAACCAAACAAAAACTTCTCTAATTATTTACTTTTTAATTACATTTAATATTTTAAAAATCTGCAATTAATATTTAGTTTTTTTGTATATAATTTAAACAATTCGATTTAAATAAATATGACAGAAAATTTAAGTGAATCTTTGTTTTTTAAAAAAAGTATCTAACATATATTAAACAGAAAGCATTAGCTTGGGTGTCATTATATTTTTTTAATATTTTAATTGATTTATTTTTGTGTGCTATTCATATTACCAAATACTTTATTTTAAATCACTTAAATTATATTGAATTTAAATCAAACTAATCACAAATAATTCGATAATTTCAATGATTGAGTAAATTAAATTAGTTACCTGTTTTATTAATGGGAATACAAATTATTTCCATGTTTTAGATCTACGAGTATTTATTGTTTCAACGGCTTTGATTCACATATTATATAAACGGAAGAAGAATATTATTAGATACCCAAATATTTTCTCAAATCTCAACCGAACATTTTTAGATACCCAAATAATTTTCAAAACTTAATAAATTATAGAATATTTTTTAAATATTTTTACAAATATTACGTGCGGATAGTAACCTAGTCAATAATAATAATGTGACTAGATCTCAACTCAATTGGAGAAAAATAATAGGATTATAAAATACTATTATAAAAGTGACTATTAATTGTACCGATTCAAAACTAATAATAAAAAAAAAACACTAAGCCTATAAAGTCCAAAAACATTAAAATGTAGGTCATGCGCCTGATTTCTTTCCTCCCAAACGGAAGGAGCCAAAAAAGCATATGCTCAAGTGGAGACCAGTAACCATACACATTCACTCATTTCTTTACAAGAAAAGATAAGATAATGTACGTTTCCTGACACGTGGCCTTATCATAGTGGTCCGTGACGATAAGGGTGTCAACACCTTTCCTTAATCCTGTGGCAGTTAACGACGTTATCATGAATCCTGGGCCCTTTGATCATTAGGTCTTTTTGCCTTACGCCGTTCTCACTATATATAGATGACTAAAGCAATAGACAAACAACAAGTAAGAGAAAAGAGTAGAAGAAGAAGAAGAAGAACTAGTAATGGCTTCCTCTATGCTCTCCTCCGCCGCTGTGGTGACCTCACCGGCTCAAGCCACCATGGTCGCTCCATTCACCGGCTTGAAGTCTTCCGCTGCATTCCCAGTCACCCGCAAGGCCAACACTGACATTACTTCCATCGCAAGCAACGGAGGAAGAGTTAACTGCATGCAGGTAAATGTCACTAGACTTTATTATAGGCTAACATGAATCCAATTCGATTTTTCATTTTATCTTTTTAAAATATATATAGAAATTAGACTTATATTTTTTTTTAAACATTTAAGTATACATTTTTTTTGTTTTGCATAGATTTACAAATACAATTTTGGATCGATAAATGTGTAATCAACTGGAACTTATAGTTGTATCAATTTTAGACGAAATTTTGCACGATATTCGGTAGAAATTTTCCAAACAACTATGATCATTGGAATAAAATGTGTTGGCAAATGAAAGGGTTTCTTGTAGACTTCGAAAGAGAATTGATATTAATTGGAAATGTGAATGATAGGTGTGGCCACCAATTGGAAAGAAGAAGTTTGAGACCCTCTCTTACCTTCCTGACCTTACCGACGTCGAATTGGCTAAGGAAGTCGACTACCTTATCCGCAACAAGTGGATTCCTTGTGTTGAATTCGAGTTGGAGGTAATATAAACAAAAGTTGTTTTTGTTGCTTGTCTCTAATCATTCTTTATTACACCATGTAGATCCTAATCTTGAATGGTTTCCTCATTTGTGTGTATATATAGCACGGATTTGTGTACCGTGAGCACGGAAACACACCAGGATACTACGATGGACGTTACTGGACAATGTGGAAGCTTCCGTTGTTCGGATGCACTGACTCTGCTCAAGTGTTGAAGGAAGTGGAAGAGTGCAAGAAGGAGTACCCTAACGCATTCATCAGGATCATCGGATTCGACAACAACCGTCAAGTCCAGTGCATCAGTTTCATCGCCTACAAGCCACCAAGCTTCACCCAGGCTTAATTCCCATTCTGAAACATTCATATAATAATCTCTTCTCATATCATTTCCAATTGTCTGTTTTTTTTTTTTCTTTTTCTGTTTCTGAGACATTTTCTATCGGATTGTCAAATGTCTGATTTATGAATATGTTATTTCTCTATCCATTCTTCTTCTTGGTTATTTTGCGAAGGTTATTAGGTTTTTAATTTTCATTTGGTTAAGAAAATAGAGAAAACACTAAAAAAGAAGCAGTAGGATGGATAGTGTTAGTGGTAGTAATACAGGCAATATAATTTTTTAGAATAGGAAAAACATTGTCACCTACAAAACTTTGTTAAGCTAATTTCATCAAAGATTCATATAAGAACCATTGTATCATTTTATTTCCGGATGTCATACTGACACAGTATCATTTACTTTTTTATTTATTTATATAGATTTCAATAAAATAGTCACCATTTGATGTTTCACGCTTCTTACGTTTTAATGCGATAATTTATACATATATATCACTGGTAATTATCATTGAAAACATAAGCTACACATATTTATCTAAAGTTGTGCTTAGATATGTCAATTTTTTTAGAGAGAAATGTTAACTTTTGTTTCTTTTCTTTGTTTTATAATATTATAATTGAAAGAATGAAACATGCATGTGTATGTAAATCTGACTCACACAAATTTTATATTTCGAAGGAAAGAACGTTCCACTTGAAATCTGTGATAGACACATTTGTGGACGGTGCCATACATAAGATAGGCTTGTGGATAAGAGTAAATTTCCCTTCTATAACTTTTTTAATGATCTTTAATATCCATGTGAATCTTGTGTGTCATATCTTTTATTAGAATCGTAACATTTGAATAATCATAATTGTTCGAAACTTATAATTTTACTAGGATCTGCAATTTTTTCTTTTTAATATTGGGTTTGTAAATACAATTTCATATGATAAAATATTTGATATTCGTACCAAAAAAAAAAAAATTTGATATTTAATTTTTCTTCATCTTTTTCATTTTTTTTTTGTTCTTGTTCTTTTTCTATAGTTCGATTGAATCCGCGAGTTCCAGGAAATTCAGAATTTATCAGATTCCTCACGACCTAATTAGTCAAATTTCACCCCTTTCCTCCTTTTGATTCGATTCAATTCGTTCAGTTTCCGGAAATTATACGATGTTTCAATTGTACATCTGTGCAGTCAGATATGGTCGAGACGTCGTATATGCTCTAGTTCTCTCTCAGTAACAACTCCAATTTTCACAACTCCATTATCTGATGTTTTGCTATTGCAACTTCCATTCTTCTATAACCAACCGTAAATAGCTATACTAAAATAACAATCATCAATTGGTTCATCATTAGGTGTATCTATATGGCTACTCCAAACCAAAATAATGTATATGCTTCATCAATAAAAAACGAAAGATGAAGGTACAAAAGATTGAGAAAGAGTAAGAAAAAAAATCCAGATAAAAAGATTTACATCGTCAAGGACAAGAACATTTTCAACAGTACGGCGTCGTTAGTATGGTGAGGATCTAGCTAGCTAGCTTATATTGGAAGAATTGGAGAAGTATCAAAGTCATTACCAGAGACTCCGATTAATAGATCTTCAGATTTCACTGAAGAGTCTTTTTTGCTGCGTTCTAGAGATGTTGCCTCGTATATTCCAAACCCTAACACTAAGCAACACACAATGAAACCAGGAAGAGAGAAATCCATCTCGTATGCAATCTCCATGACTATTATGCATGCGCCTGCTACCATTAAATGCCTTGGGGAAGAAAACACCATATGCAATCTGCACAAAACAAACGTATAAAGCAGAGAAATATGTGTGTAAATGAAATGTAAAGAGAACAAAAGTGTAATATAGCTTTAGGGAAACCTCTCTTCTGCGATATTGTCGACATAGAATATTAGGATGATCCCGAAAACTATGGTGCTAAAGAAGGCCCACGCAGAAAATGGTAACTCGGATGTTTTCTCAGAAGATGACGACCCCTGAAGTAAAATTTTGATATTAAAGCGCCATTTTTTTATACATTATTTCTTCTCATTCCAAAGAAGTAGCATCACTTACTATGACAAGGTCCCACATGGCCAAAGGAAACAAAAAGCAGGTTGCAGAAGTAATAGTTATCGCATGAAGTCGTTTCTTCTGCTGGTTCTGTGAAAGCAGAGAATTGGTTGGTCAGGAAGCAGAAATGATTGGCGTAATAGAGAGAATCTGAGAGCAGTACCTTAAGAGAAACACGCCGCGCAATAACTCGCCTTAGTGCTGATAAGATTCCAGCAAAAACGGGTATCATCATTCCCATCAGACCTAGTGCTTGTTCTTTTAGTACTTCTTCCTCTTTGGTTTCAGTATTATCTTTTGATGGTGGATTGTTGTTAAGTTAAACAAACCAACGTACCATAGAGAGTTAAAAATGAAACAAGATAGAGAGAGAGCGAGAAAACAACATGTAGACAAAAGAGAAGGAACTTGCGTAAAAGGATATAAAAAGGGGAGAGAGATAATGTCGCCCATCCTTGAGACAAGAAAAAAAGAGCTACTAGCATTGCAACAAGGCCACCTACCTGACATGATTTGGAAACATGAGAGAAATTTAGTTCTAGTCGTCTTTATTGATAATATGAACATTAATTTGATCTTTCACATTGAACTACATATCATCATTAACCATAATGCAAGCAGTATAAGCACACGGATTAGCCAGAAGAAACATCATAAAATGCTAAAAACTGTTGCACAAGTTAAAGCTTTATAGTAGTGAGTTGAGGCATGCCGTGACACTAAAGCCTATGTAAACCGTGCTAGTAAAATGGTTACATTGACTAGCGGTGATATGTAAGTGACATCTTTTAGATTACAAACATTCAGATGATTACCTTCTTCCACACATGCCCTCTCCGTCCATATAATACTCCAGAAAGTACTCCAAGAACAGCACCAGAGTACTCTGACAAGATAGCTCTGCCAATGATAATGTACAAAGAGAATTAGCAAGGACAATCAAATTATCAATGAAGATAATATTTTAGGATCAAATCACAGAAATGGAGCTTAAAATTGGGGGAGATTGCAGAGACAATTGTAAGTCCAAAATTCCGATAAGCACTGAAACAAACAGCTAAACTGGGACTAACTTGCTCAGACGTAAACTTTTAACTTCATTAGCTTTCAGAAGCCAAAATCTAGGATAGAACAGAAAAGAATTTATGGCATTATGAATGCTTAATAACTAATGGATACCTTAGGGGTCCACAAGACTTAAGACCTTTTCCCCACAGGATGAAGTATAGAGCTGTGATGACCCCATTGATAAGCGAAGGTACAATCTGAAAGAACCAAAGACGCCTCCGAAATTAGTAGCCAAAAACAGAAAAGGATTAATTTAGTCCATTTATATGACTAAGTGAACCTGTTGATTGGAAAGTGCCCTTCCTTTCCACGGTTTCTGAACTATCAAGAAGATGATGGATGACGGCACCAGACAGCAGAAAAGAAAGAGAACAACAGGGGCTCCTGTCTGATTCAAGTACCGGTACATGGAATAAACCGACCATATCCTAAAGAAGTTCCCAATGACATGGATTATCTGGAAAGGTGTATTCCTGCAAATATAGAGGGAAAAAACACATCTGTTTCAGATTACAGTTCAAAATACAAGAACTCGGTTTCAGATTATAAGAAAGCACTCAGTTCTTAGCCGATGGCAAAACTAGAAGAATGCTCAAAGTTATCCTTCCGAACAATCAGTAAGAGTTCCCAGAGATCTATGAATCTGAATTGAGCAAATAAAGTGTAGAATCTTCTGTACTTAGCTACTTGTGATGACCACAACATACCAAATCAGAAACTAATTAACTCGCAGTCTTGAACTTCTCTTATCACAAGGAAGAAGGAACGTATGCATTACGAAAAGCAACAACTGAATCAAACACACTGTGAAGTAAAAGCTTAAGCTAGCGAATATGAGAACTCAAAATGTCTGCTATGTTGCTGCATTAACTTCAGCAAAATTGAGGAAATGCGATTTCCAGTTTAGAGATATAATAAAAAACCCCAACGAATAAATCGAAGCCACAGTACACACTTCATCGCAATTTGAATTATTTCCATCGCATCGAAATCTATATCATTTCTACTCGATCAAATTATCAGAGAAGAGACCACACCTGAGAAGCAGAGAAATTCAATCGAAACTTTAGGTAAGAAGCTACCTGAAATGTGGAGATCCTCGCTCGTCGGAGATTTGCTTCGGGGACATCATTAAGCCTTACTTCCGAAAATCACGTGGTGCTTAAAATCCAGTAGAAATTCTAAAATACTGTTTAATCCAGTATCCTTCCACTAGAACTCGAGCTCAGAATCTAAAGACGATGAAATTGAAGAGGAATTTGCGTATAACTTGTGATCGAAGAAGAAGAAGAAGAAGAAGAATCCTCGTCTTCTTCGTTAAGGAATCGAAGGTCCCGAAGCTGAAGTCGAGCGATCTATGGAGATCGAGAGAGAGAACATAATTTGCTATTGGGCCTTCGTAAAGCCCATTTGAAAGTAGCCGGATTCTGAAGGAAACTTTTAAAACTGATATAGAGATCCGGTTTAGTCGTCTGTTTAAAAATTAAACGATTTGTTAAACACACCGTTTTCACAAGTAAAAAACGAGAAGCAGTTAAAATGAAGTGTAAAAATTAAACGATTTGTTAAACACACCGTTTTCACAAGTAAAAAACGACATGCAGTTAAAATGAAGTGTCGTTTTGAAAGTAAAAAACAATTATTGTGAAAAGGCTCTATCTTCTCTCTCTCCATCGTGCTTGATATGTTTCTTCTGAAGAAGTAGATTTCTTCACATTCCAAATCTAATTGTATTTGGTAGATTGAAGTGGATTTATCTAGAGACGTATTTTAATCGAGAGTTAGGGAGATTAATTGGTGGTTAGAAAACAGATTTTGTATTGAATCGAGAGTTAGGGAGATAATTCAATTTCTGGCGGTTTAGGTGAAGTCTCTGCAGATCTTGCAATCTCTCCAGCGATTAAGTGCAGAGGAAAGGAGCGGAGATCTTCGGCCATAGCTTTGCAATCGAAGAGGATCTAGATAAAGAAAGGAAGATGAAGATGAACTCTAAATCCCAGTTTTCTTTATGAACCCTAAATCCCAATTCAATGTTTTAGATTTTTTTATTTTGTTGTTTCTATGTAAAATTTAGTTGCCCATGTGTTGAACTGCAGAGATGACGATGAGTTGATGATGAAGATGACGATTAGTTGATAACAATGCTTTCTTTTTTTTCTAATTTTTTTATCATTTCTTTTTTTTTTGTTAACAATAACTAAAAACAACGTGTAGTTTTTATGTTTAAAACGGTGAGTTTTGATTTCCGTCAATGATATAACGGCTGTTATTTAAAAGGATTATATTGCGGATTGACCAAAAGGTAGAGGTTTGACTTGCATTTTCTGAAAGTCGAGAGTAAACTTGCAAAAAAAATTCACTTGAAAGGTTGATTTGCAGAAAACCCATGTTTGTATGGTTTAAGTTGTTAAAATTTGTTTGTAGACGTATTGTTTTTTTTTTTTTTTTTTTTTTTTTTTTTTGGTAAAATTGTAGACGTATTGTTTTTGTTTGCTTTGATGTCATATTGATATAGTTAACGTTTGATTTGATGTAATTTCGATTTGGTTCAGTTTAATTTCAAAATAACTTGAAAGTACAATAGTAACAATACAAATACTAAAACAAAAAAAAAAAAACAATACAAATACTAATTTAATTGGATATTATACATATGTATTGTTAACAAACAAAAAATATGTAATTTTGACAAAGAAAATATGTTTTTTTTTTTATAAATATGGATTTATTCATTTCGTTTAACAACAATTTCAGATCATTTCGGCTTTCTGACAAAGAAATAAAATTAATCAGTTCATAATTAAATTCTGGTTTGATATCAGGTTTAAATATTTGGTTTAGGTTCGGTTCGTCTTGCAATGCAAATATAAAGATAAGGGTAAAATAGTAAAACATGGGATAAAAGTTCGGTGAAGATAGTTCTTGTCTTCTTGAGAACTCTCTCCTGAGTAAGCTCGACCTTCACGCTCACGCGAATGGCTTCTTCTTCTCTTGTCTCATTCCCATGCCTTTCCTCGCTGAAAATGACATTCAAGCCCATGGCGACTCTCAGCAATCCCCCTACAACAGCGATGTCGTACGAGCTTAAGAAGGGACAAAACCGTCTTTTTCATAAGCTTCCTTCTGGGCTAAAAATGGAGGTAATCGAGCAGAGAAAAGATGAAGATGAAGACGAAAAAAGAAAAAGAAGAAGCGAGAAAGATAACCCACCATTGGTTTTTGTTCATGGAAGTTATCACGCAGCTTGGTGTTGGGCTGAACATTGGTTGCCTTTCTTCTCTTCTTATGGGTTTGATTCTTACGCTATTAGCTTATTAGGTCAGGTAAAACTCTTTTCTCGATTACAAATCTCAAATCATTAAATTTTCCATTTTTATGTTGAAATTTTAGAATTGCCCACGTAATTCATGAAATTTGTGTAATTGTGATCTATATACATTTTGACCTTTTAGATTTGTTTATGGTTAACAATTCGTTTTGATTCACTCAATAGCTACTGATACAATCAAGAACATCAATCTGCATATATGGGTTTCTACACATTGATTTGGTAAAGTCTTGGTTTTTTATGAGGGTTTTGATCAAAATTCGGAGCTTCAGCTTTGTTTATGCTCAAGACTTCGTTTTTTTATTCCAACAATACATACGGATACTATCAAGTACATAAATCTGCAAATGTCTGTTTAAAAATGGAGTGATCTGTATGTGATGTGTCAATTTTGAATTCCTCAGGGTGAAAGTGATGATCCTTTAGGAACAGTTGCTGGAACTCTTCAGGTACTTGAATTTCGATTAATCTTTGCAATGTACATTGTCTTTCGTGGAAAATTTTCGGATCTTTTAGTGAAAAAAATTACAAGATTCAGCAAGATCCTTAAAGTCTTTACCTTGTTTGTGTAGTAGACACACGCAAGCGATATTGCAGACTTCATCGAATCAAACCTTAACTCTTCACCTCCTGTTCTTGTTGGACACTCTTTTGGAGGGCTCATTGTTCAGTATTACTTGGCAAATATCGTCAACAAACAGTCTTTAGGTAAGACTAACTCATATAATGAATGGAGTTTCTGTCGAATGAGCTGTAATATGATTAACCAGTGAGTTTGTTCTTTCGAGCTCAGGTTCGACAAATGCGTTTCCTGAACTGTCAGGGGCTGTACTGGTCTGCTCAGTTCCACCTTCGGGTAATAGGTAACATGTCACAACCTATTATTGTCTCTTGCCTATATCTGACCTTCATATTTGTTTAACTTGACTCTCGTTCATGTTCAGCGGGTTAGTGTTACGTTATCTCTTCTCTAAACCCGTTGCAGCCTTTAAGGTGAGAATCTTATCTTGTCGGTAGATCTTGTAAGGATGGGTTCTGTATCATTTTCTATCTTATATAACAATGTTGGTTCTTGGTTGTGTTCTTGAGCAGGTCACTCTCAGTTTAGCTGCTAAGCTTTTTCAAGCATCTATTCCTCTGTGCCGGGAAACATTCTTCTCTTCAACCATGGATGATCAACTTGTGCAGCGGTACACCTATGAACTACCTCATAAGTACACTTGAATCTAAAATCTAAAGTTTTCATCATCTGTATATAAATGTTGTCTATCGTTTTTCTTTTCGATTCCAGTTACCAGATTCTGATGAAAGAGAGCTCACGGATGCCATTGTTTGATCTGAGGAAGCTAAACGGATCACTTCCGGTACCAAAACCTATGGAGGATTCTACAAAAGTTCTTGTTTTTGGTGCCAACGATGACTTCATAGTGGTAACAACTGAAAACGCCCCTTCTTGCTAACTGCTAACCAAACCAGAAAGCTTCGATCTTGGTACTTGTTTAAACCGGGTTACGGTTTTGCAGGATGATGAAGGATTGAAGGAAACCGGGCTGTTTTATGATGTTGAACCGGTTTGTATTGAAGGTGTTGCTCATGACGTGATGCTAGATTGTTCATGGGACAAAGGTGCTGAGGTTCTTTTAACTTGGCTTTGTGGTTTGTCTAAACCGGGAAATTTAGCTGCTTAATAGACTACAAAAAATCAACTATAAACCAAACTTTAGCCGAACAGTTGAAAATAATCACTCCTTCATTTAATTCCCTAAGACATAATCCTCGAACATAAAAAAGAGTTGCCTTTTTCTATCTCATTTACTTCAGTCCCATTCAAATTTTTTTTTCTCGAGAAAATTCATAACAATGCCGGAAAAGGCTAATCATAGTCCAAGAATCTCATTTTCTCAAGATTTTTGCTACTATGATTCCATACCAATCGAGCAAAGCCCATTACGACCTCCGTCCGAATCTTCCTGCTTCAATTTCGATTTCTCAGTTCCCGGTGGTGTGATATACGGCGAGAGCTCGTGGTCCGCCGAAGAATTCTTCTCCGACGGCAAAATCGTCCCCACAGAAATAAAAAAGAGACCCGAACCGGAGATGAAGTCGTTTTCCGAATCTTCTGGACCGGGTCGGCCCAAACCGGAGACGAATCCGATCGGAGACGTTAAACCGGTTCATGAAATAGACGAAATAGACGAAATCGACGACGAAGAAGAATATGAAGAAATAATGGTGATAGAAGAGAAACCCAATTGTAAGCCGTTTTGGGGGTTTAAGAAAGTCAAAAAGAGACCAGTAACTGTACCGGGGAACAGTTTACCCAAACCGGAAACAAATCAAATTGGAGATGTAAAACCGGTTGTGGAAATCGAAGGAGGCAAAGCAACGGTGGTGGAAGCAAAACCCAATACGATTCCGAACAGAAATGTTAAACCGGTCCATGAAATAGAAGAAATCGAAGAAGAGAAACCCAATACGAAGCCGTTTTGGGGTTTCAAGAAAAGAAGCAACAGTATCATCAATTCCGAAATTGGATTGCCTTTGCTTTCGAATAACCAGACCGGTTCAAATTCTAAAAAGACAGAAACTACGGAGCTTCAGGTTTCCTCGTCTTCATCTTCTTCTTCAAACTCTAAGGAGCCATTGAAGAAGAATTATTATGGAGGTTACAATTACGGTGGCAATGGAGGTGAAATTAAGGTGAACTCGTTTCTCGATATGATTCCGTCGGGGAGTTTGTTTGGACTGGGATCGATAATTTTCGGTAGTGGAAGCGACAAGAACAAGAAGAGATCTTTGATCTTCTATTGGTAAGAAAAAAAATTAATGGAGTTTTCGTGTTTTATTATTGAGACTCTCTGTTTCTTTCTCTGAAGCTTTTTTTTTTTGAACAGAATTTTTCTCTGAAGCTCTGAAGTTTGAATTCATGACAGTATGGCTTTGTGGGTCCCAACTAAGTCTTGAGTTTTGTGTTATTTATTTTTCTGATTCCAAAAAATTTATAAGTATATTTTATTATAATATTCTATATATCAATAAAAAATAAAAGTAAAAGAAAAAATAAATATTTACGATTTTGGTTTTATATAAAAATCTTAGATTATATTTTTGGTTTAAAGTATTTCTAATCCACTATTATTTTAAATCTTCTAATTTACTCTGATTGGTAATACAATAAAAACTGTGGAATGACGGAAAAAAATTAAGCTGCGGAATGGCGGAATGCAGAATAGTGGAATAATTAATTTTGATATGATTGGATAAATTATGCAGAATGACGGAATGGTGGAATGACAGAAAAATATATAATTAATTTTTTATAATAATATATTTTATATATAATTTAATATAATAAAAATTAAAATATTAATTATTATAAAAATATAATTTTAATATAATTAGAAAAAATTAAAATTTTTATTGTAATTATTATTATTTTTTTTTACTATAAAATATAAAACTATATTGAAATATTTAATCTACAGATATAATCTGATTATTATATAAATATATGTAATATTTATTTATATTTATTTAAATAATAAAATATAATTAGTTATATAATTGAATGATATAAAATATTGATTCTGCAAATAAGCTACCTGAAACACACTTTTCCATTTAATCAAATTTTCTTTGTATTTTTTGTAAGTATTTTCGCCATTCCGCAGAACTCAAGTTTTGGCGTATTTCCGCAAGTTTTTTTGATTGGCAAAATTCTTGCGGAATTGAGTTTTTCCACCATTCCACCATTCCTCTTATTATAGAGAAAAAAATAACAATATTTCTTTTCTCTAAAAATAAAAATAGATTGGAGAGAAGTCCACTTATATTTTAGAGGATAAATTTGAAAAATACATTAGAGATGATCTTAATATTTAATATGATATTAAAGGTTAAGAAAAAAAAAGTATGAGTCAAAGAAGACAAAAATTAAATAAGAATAATTTTGATCGATTTTATGTTGTTATCAATGTTTTTAAACCCGATCCTAATAACGAACCGGAATACCTTCCAGGTCAATCTGGATCGAACTGGATAAATCGTGGTTTAATAAATTTATTTGTATATATATATATATTATTTTTAATATAATATTAATGTTTTATAAATATATAAATAGCACTTTTAATAAAATAGAAACTATATTTTTTCCGAGTTAACTTTTTTAACAAAAACATGAGCTATAGTTTTGTTATTTTTTTATTGACCACAAATTCGTAATTGAAAATGTAAAAATAATTTTTTCAACAAATAAAATGAGAAAAAATATTTTCTAAAATTGTCCAACACAATAAATAAAATAAAATAAGTTACGTTTGATTTTGAAAAGTCACACAACATGTCTAGGAAGGGAAAATATAAAAGTTCCTTTAGTATCAAGTTTTAAATTTTCATTGGGCTTCAAAACCCACGTCTAAAATCTTACTTCTTCAGTTACAGTTGATCCGGTTCACTAGTTGAACCATTGGTTTTATGGATTTAAGATGGGGTTTTCCGAATTTCTTCGGGTTTTTAATCATCCGATTTTTATCAATAATCCGAACCGGAAGACTCTCCAGATCCCGATTAAACCGGGCCGAGCGGCTGAGCCGGTTCGAATTTCAAAACATTGTTAGAAATATTTTAAAATATTATCTTACACATATTAATTTTTTCATACATATATTTTTTTCAACATATTAAAACATTATTTCATGAATCAAGTTTTGTATATGTTGTGATCCATTATATATTATATTAATAAATATATTAAAGTTAGGAACATATCAACTCTTACTTTTTAATATAATAATCAAATATTAAATATATTATTTTATACCTTAAATCATACATATATACATATATAAGTTTAGATCCGATTGGTTTAAATGATTTTGTTACAGAGAGTTTGTGAAAGCGAAAAATTGCGGATTATAATAAAATTGACGAAGAGATGAGCGGAGAACTACCAGAGAATTTTATAAACTATGATTTTACAAATTTTATAGCAAATATATATTATATTTTTATTGATAAATCATATATCATAAAAAGCTACAAAATAATTTTTTTTGATTAAATACAATTGATAGAAATAGTTTTCGTGATTGTTGTTAAACGCTAATAACTGCATCGTGTAAAAACATAACGTTTGCGGAAAATATCAAAAAAACTTAGCAACACTAAAATATTACAATTCACTTATTTCTAACTCATACCTACATGCATAAATATACTTACTATTATTTTTTTAACTATACATAAAATATATATTATAAAATATATATACTTTATTATTTTCTTTTAATACATAAAATCCATATTTTGATTTTCTTACAAATATGTGTAGATGTCCAGAAGCAAATTTCGGGATGCCACGTGGGTGTATGATTCATCCGGGGGTGGAGCTGTGTCTCTGAGTTTCGTCCTTTGGGGGGAAAGGCGGCGAGTCGTTCCGGGGCGGAAACTTCTGATGTCGGGGTGACGGGATGAACGTCGTGCTCCATCCTGTAAACACTCAAGGAAATGTCAGATGGGCCTCCGAGAGGACCGAAAAGGGGTTTCCCTCCCGAAGGTTCTCCGACGCCCAAGTCGGTGAGCGTCCTACCGTGAACAAGTACTCAGGAGGGGAGATTTCTACGGGTTAATGTGAGGAGTCTCGTCTAAGGATCGAGGCTCCTATCTGTTTTTGGATGTCTCGAAGGGGTTTTTATACAATAAAAGAAGACGGAGCGAGTATGAAGGCAAGGTTCCGGATTAGGGGTAGCTTAACCTGATAGGCATTCACCCGGGAAGAACATGGAGTTCACCCATGATTGTGCTGCTTGCCCGAACCGACTAATTCAGATACGGGTAGTTACCTCCTTTTCTAGAGAGGTTTTCTCTCCTCCGATCAGTCGATCCCTTTCTGCGTGGTGATCTCCTCTTACTTATACTCGCAGACTCCTTGTCCTGTCTTTTCCATCCGGCGTGCCAGGAGAGTAAGTCAGGGTAATGATTCTATCGTGTTTGGGGAAGCCCCAGAACAGTACGCGGGAGTGGGTTGGCTGAGCTAGCGTGGCGTGTGTTAGTGTCTAGCGCAGTCTAGGTCCCAACAGTTGCCCCCGACTTTTCGGCTATTCAGAAGATGAGTCGGGAAGTCGAATGCTCCTTGGCTTCTTGTAAAACGAGCACGGTTTACCTGATTCCCTAGGTGGTTTGCCACTTAAGGGCTAGATGGATGCAGCGATCGTGCCGGGTATCGTAGGGGATACAGGACTGTCTGGGTGAAGCTAAGTTCTAAGGGATAGCAAAAATTTGGGAACTTATCCAAGCCGTGCCACGTATCCTAGAGGAGTACAGTTCTAGCCGGATGGTCCGGACTTCTGAAGAAGTAGGATGGGGTATCAAATTTGACCCCGGCGCGTACTAGGAAAGAATACAGCCATGGCCGAAGGAGTAGTCCGAAGGGGACTCTCAACCCCGACCTTATTCGTCTGTCCCGCGGGAGCACGTTATTAGTCGAGGTAATTTTACTTCTAAGGAAGCGAGCCGTGGGGCAACTGTTAATAGATGTTAACTCCGACTTTATTCGCATCTAAGGGAGTACGTTATTGATCGAAGGAATTATGCTTCCGTAGGAAACGGACCGTGAGACGGTCATACTAGATTCTTATAGAAGGACTCGCCCAGTCTACATTACGCATCTGATGGAGTACGCCGTTCGGCCTGGGGATTTTGATGATGGGGTCCTATCTTGACTGGGGCGTGCATTTGGGGGAGTGCGACGCTTGCTCATGATAGGAGGATAGGCGTTCCCAAGGGGGAACTGATAGCTTGCCCACTTGTGGACATCTCCTCGGAGGGATTTTACTTCTTGCTTTGTGAGGCAGTAGACAAGAAGCCATCTTTCCCCCGCTCATCGGGCTCATGAGCGAGGTTATAGTCTTATGTGACCATGGGGCTCGACATAAGGCAACGACGCGGGCTAAGACACCGGTCTAAGGACCAGAGGTTGCATCGTTGGATGGATGAATGGATGTATCCTGCGTCGCGGGGCGCTAACGCAAGGGGGAGTCACTACTCGAATGCAGCTAGTGCGGAGTATGGCGTTTGCTGAGGGCGCTACTTTGACTCCCTTACTGTCTGGACAGTCTTTGTGTTGTACTTTTGCGGAAGTTTATGGGTTTTGAGAATGTGCTTGTGACATTCCCTGAAGGAGAAGAGGTCGAGAAATTATCAGGAAGAGAAAGTGTGCGAGTCGGCGACCTCAATTTCTGTTGTGCATGAGTGGCAAGCATGTCCTAGTGAGGAGCGTGCTGATTTATCGCTCAGCCCATTGGAAGGGACTGGCGGGGAAGATCCAGAGATCTGAGAGGCCTGAGCCCTAGGATCCCGAAGGGATACTACCCAGGAGGGCGAGCAAGTTCGCGGGAAAGCATGCTCAGGGTGTGCGCAGTACGCGGATGGAGCTGGCACGGGGCAAGCCACTAGGGCCTTCTGGGACCAGAGTCTTGAATTTCCGGAGAAATAGTGTCCCAGAGGATGAGCAAGTCCGCGGGGGAGCATTCTAAGAAAAGGGGATTCAAAGGAGATTATGGATATGATAGAGGAAGGGGATTCCTTGGTCGCCGCGAGGGCTAGACGTGCGATCGAACGAGTGACTATGAGGTTGAGCCAAGAAATGTTGTATGTTCACGTAAACAATGAACCAAACAATCATGCAAGTAAGAAATCGAACAATCATGCAGGCAAGAAATCAAACAATCATGCATGCAAGATATCAAAAAATCATGCAAGCAAGAAATCAAACAATCATGCAAGCAAGAAAAAAGTAATCATACGAGCAAGAA